TCTCATTCTGATATTTCTGGGTACCTCATATATGGCGAATGGTGATGATGCAAGCTTTGGTCATCCTTGTGAGACTAATTCCCAGGAGAATTGTTTGGCCTGTTCCCAAGGAAACACGTTCAAGGACTCATATAACTATGTTAAGTTTTCAGACACAGTGATTCTCCCTTGAGACCGCATAATGCAGAGCCTGGTTTGGTGTTGTTTTGCTGAGCTCTAAATTTTTGATTGGGGAGCTGAACAAAAAGTTTCTAGATACTTAACCATCTATTTTGAAGTCATCAGAGAGGGAATGGTTTATTTTCCAAAGTGAAATATTTTTCTATTTTTCTATTTTATAAGATCATACTATCATCTCAAATAGTATGGACAGTAGGAATCAAAAAAGTGTATTTTTCACTCTTCACCATTACAATGAAATAAATACAGAATTAAACTCCCTGTCTCATAATCAAAAAGACTTTAAAAAACTTTTTTGTAGCATCTTTTTTTTTATTTTTGGTAGAAACTTTCATATTAAGATCGTAGCCACACCTCTACCTAAGCAGTTCCCACATGTACAGAGAAATTCTATTATTCTCTGTTCTTTCTTCACTCACTCTGATATATACACCTGAACACACATGAACACACGTGAGCAATATGATGTCTGAGAATATTAGTTCGTTAGGGTGATGTAACCAAATACCACAGACTGGGAGCTTAAATAACAGCAATTTAGTTCTCCGTGTTCTCAATCTAGAAGCCTGAGCTCAAGATAAGTCAGGGCTGATTTCTGACAGGTCCCTCTCCTTCACTGTAGGTAGATGTCCTCTCTTTGTATCTTCACATTGCCATTTGCCCTCCATGTTTCTATGCTGTGGTCCTTTTTTCTCATGATGCCAGTCCCAGTCCCATTTGATTACATCACACCCTTAAAAGCTAATTTTCAGTTAATTACCCACACAATGATCCTGTCACTGGAGTACAGATTGAAGTACCAGGAGTTAAGTCTTCAACATATGAAATTTGGTATAAATGAATATATACATCCACACACATACATTTATTGTGTAAAAATATGTTTAAACACAGAGTCATGTATACATTTAAAGGCATAGTATTAATCTCCATATCTCTGACTCAACTTGAATAGATGCCCATGATTGCAGGTAATATTAATTATATAATGATTACATTTGACTAGCTTGGCAATGACCCTGTAACCCATAGCAAAACCACAGCTTGCATATTTCCATAGTATCTTCAATGAAGTCATTGGTACCCTTCTCCCCCCTTTGATTTATACATTGACATCTACCTGGAAGTTACCTGATATAGATAAAACACGTTAATGCACAGCTCAACCTTTAGAGTATTGTGGGACATGACAAGAGCTCAACAAAATATAGTATTAACATTATTATATATCAATTAATAAAACACAGCTGTTTTATTTTCCATTACACAGTACATTAAATATTACTGGCATGGTGCCCAAAACTGGAATATTATGTCCTAAATTACAACAAATTACATCTTACACAAAATATGAATGTAATATAACAAGGAAACTACAGCACATGCAACAACATTTTATATCGCTATAGATGATATTATGCACATGCAATAACAATATATAAATGCTTTCTAGGACACATTATAAAGAGAGTAGGGAAGTCTTAATTAGTCACTACCTAAAGCTAAGCATTTTTGACAAAAGTGTGGAATCTGTTGACCACCTCTGCCAACATAAACCAACAGGTCATGTTACTCATTGTAGAAACAGAGATAAATGAATGAAAGATGAGGGCATAGTTCATTAAAAAAATCACAGAAAAAAAAAAACTGTCTATTAATATGTGAAATGACACATTGCATATCCAAGAGAGTAATTATCTAAAAATGCATGTTACTGAGCAATAAATGCTTCTCAAATACTTATCTGTAGTTGCAAATAAACAAATAGGAATAGCTATAATTATACAGTTTCCATATCATGGTAATAACAGATTTTTTAAATAACGATGCAATGTGAGGATGGATATCATGTGCTAACCTGGAAGAGTAGTAGATAGTAGTAGTGACTAGAGCCAATCACATATAATTGCTCCATGATTTACTTGGAAAAATATACATGTCATTAATATAAGAATGTACATCAATCATTATTGGATGAATGAAAAAGTCTAGCCAGTAATCATAGCAAGAGTTTAAAACAAAACATTGAATATTGGAAAATGAAAACTATCTTCTTGAACAACTCTTAATTAAAATAAAATTTAAGGGGCCTCCCCGGTGGCGCAGCAGTTGAGCGCTGGGTTGCGAAGCTGCCCGCAGCCTCTGCAGCGCCGGTTCGATCCCCGGCTGCTACCTGGCCACCAGAGGAGGGTCCCACATGGCGCGAAGACCTCTCCTGCCACCCGCTGCTCCCCTCAGCAGTGTACTTAGGTCCTTCTGCCTGCTCTGCTCCCCGCTCTGGCTCTGGTGAATACTCTCACCCTCCCATGCCTCTGACTGTACCCAGTGCTTGTATAAATAAACAAACAAATAAATAAATAAATCTTAAAAAAATAAAATAAAATAAAATTTAAAAATTAATTTGAATAATCTTAAATAACAAAATACTCTGAAGCTAGAATTTTGTAAGGAAATTAACAATTCCAGACTACTAACAGAAAAACTGTTTTTTATTAATTTAGTTAATTATTTATTTACTTTATTGAGGTAACATTGGATTACATCATTGCATGGGATTTAGGGAAGAGTTTAAAACCCCTCAGACTATGTCACCACCCCGGACCAACAACTAAGCCCTGTTACTCTGACCTTTGCTCCCTCAGGGATTTGCTTCCACACCCATCATCTCATCCTCTGTAGTAGCCTCAGTTCTGCATCATATTTCTAGGCTTTATGTTTGTTGATTTGATCAATTCCTTTGTCATTTTTTATAGAAAAATTTTAAAATTAAGAAAAACTGAACACTCTACTGACTAAAGCTTATGGGTGGCCACATAATCTGAATTTATTGTCAATGTTTAACTTTACAACTTTTCTCCACTCAAAATGTTAAGCAAGTGAGTGAAGCATTTACTTCAAAATTTTGCTTGCAAAGTATATAACAAAACTTAGAAACCAAGGGAAAAGCAACAACTTTAAAAATTATAAACAATTTCAATAAGTTAGCAGTGACTAACGTGATTAACATGTCACAGAAAGATAAGAACTTTAAATGCTCAGCAGGTAAGACCAGTTATTTTATGGCATAGAGAATTTTAGATTGATGAGTTTACAATATGTCAAGTCCACAGCATGCTCTCTGGGAGTCTCCTAGACCAACAACACATTCTTTTCACATTGTTTCAATGACAAAGGAATTAACAAAGTTTAAACTTGCAAGTGTATCAGAAAGCTGAAAAAACACTAACGAACACAGCAGAAATTAAACTCATGCTCTATATATATATACACAAATACATAACAAAAGAACAACAGACACTAGACTGTCACTAATGATTAGGACAATCCTCTTTCCTTCACTTTTTTTTTTCAGTATTTCTATGTTTTCTCCAATGTTAACATATACCATTACAAAGTCCAAATTTGTGAAGCACTGCAATTTTCCTTTTCAGTTGTTGTTGTTTTGGTGTTTGGTGTTTGTCTATTAAATTAATCAAAATTAATCTACAAAAACTCAAGTGAATAGCCTTAAGAAAAATCATTGTGGGGCCTCCCTGGTGGTGCAAGGGGATAAGATACAGCCTATGAAGCTGTCTGCAGCCACTGCAGAAGGAGTTTGATCCCCAGCCAGGCGGCTACCCACATGGCTCTGCAGACCTCACCTGACTCCACCCTTCTCTCCTCAGCATTGTTTTTCAGTCGTTCTGCCTGTTCTTTTCCCCACTGTTTCTGGTGAATACTCTCACCCCCCTCTCTGCACCTCTAGCCTGTACCCCCGTTCTTGCATATGTAAATAAATAAATCTTAAAAAAAAAAGAAAAATCATTGTGAATTAAAATTGAAAACATTGCAGGAATGTAAGCCTTCTTATGATAACGAAAAATTTTATTAGAAATGCTTCAAATGTTTTATATCCATCATCTGACTTCATGTTTATAAACCCTCTATATAGACCTGGGATTATCATTTATCTTTTACAGTTATAGAAACAGAGGCTCTAAGTTTCAGTGACTTACCAGAGGGTATATAGCTGAAAGGTAAGAAGATCTAGAATCTAAATCTAAGTTTCTTGTTCCAAAGCAAGTGTTCATAGCCACACTACGATTTTCTTCTGAATGAATGGACTCAATGCATTCTGAAAGGATTTCTATTGAGCAAACAAATAAGCTCTTCTTACAATAAAGTTCTGAACTATACAATGGAGTTGTTATGGAAAAAATGTAAAAGAAGACAACTTTCTTTTCTTATTTTGTGCATTTGTTGTCCTTAAGTTGAGACCATATCAAAGAAGTATTGCCCAAGATTACATCTGGTGAATTAAAAACTGGGTCATAAGAAACACAAGGAAATAAATAGAGTTAATGGATTTTAGCGAGACTTTAAAGAAAATCCCTACAATGAAGAAAGTAAAAGGGACCTTAAAAGCTTAGCATCGTGAATGGAGCTGAAAGCACTTACTAAAAATGAAATGTCAGAAGGAGTAAAACAAACACCCAGTGGTGACACTTACCTTTGTTAAATTGACAAGCAAGAGAAACAGTCAGAGGGCAAATCTCAAAACATATACCTTAAAACTTGACTATAAACCTGAGACATTCAGAGGAGCAAGAGAAGGGGGAGGGACAAGCACAAATTTGGAGGAGGCACAGTGGTCCATGGGGGGGTGGACCATGGGTGCTTTGGTTGGGGGAGAACCATTGAACACAGCTCGGAAAGGGGATCCTATTTTTCCAACATACAAATAACAATGTAAACCAACGTTACCTGAAGAGCAAAAATATAAAGGTATAATATGGCTTGGATAAAAAGAAAAAAACATTATAAAAAAAAAATGTTCAGCATCACTGTTTCAAGTGTCTGGAGCCCTCTCTCTTCTGAAGGAGTCTAAGGACAGCATTTTTCACTTCTTTGTTGCGAAGACTATAAATAAGGGGATTCAGCATGGGGGTCACCATAGTGTAAAACACAGAAGCCACCTGATCCTTTCCCAAGGAGTAGGATGTATTTGGTTTTAAGTAACTGAAGATCATAGTGCTATAAAAGATGGTGACTGCCACCACATGCGAGCCACAGGTGGAGAAGGCTTTTCTCTTTCCTGAAGTGGATTTAATTTTCAGAATAGCAGAGAGAATGGACACATAGGAAAATGATATTGTGATTAGAGATCCCAGAATGGTACAGCCTGCATCAATGAGTATAATGAGTTCAGTGTCCTGGGTTTCAGTGCAAGACAGTGCTATAAGAGGGGATGTGTCACAGAAAAAATGATGGATTTCATGGGAGTCACAGAAGGTCAATTTTCTCATGCCAAGCAGAGTGACAAAAGAGTCTATAAAACCTATAAAATAGGACCCGAGGACAAGAGACCAGCAGCGTCTTGGGGACATGACAACAGGGTAGTGGAGAGGATTGCAGATGGCTACATAGCGATCGTAGGCCATGGATGAGAGAAGAACACATTCAGAAGCAATAAAGAATACGAAAAAGGACAGTTGAGTGAAGCAACTTGCATATGAAATTTTCTTGTTGGAGGTCAGCAAGTTATGTAAGGTTTTCGGTGAGATGACAGATGAGTAATTGAGGTCAATGAAAGACAGGTGACTGAGGAAGAAATACATGGGGGTATGAAGCTGGGCATCAAGGCTGATGAGCAGTGTCATCCCTGCATTCCCCAGAACAGTGACCAGGTATATCAGGAGAAAGAGCACAAAGAGCACCAGCTGGATGTCTTCAGCATCTGTAAATCCCAAAAGAATGAAGTCGGCCACGTTAGTGTTATTCCTTCGATGCATTCTTCTCCACTGCTTTTACCTATTGAGAAATCAGAGTTGGTACTTAATAGACAGAACATCAATAATGTTTAAGAGTTTATGAATGATGCGACATCTTTTTATTAGTTAAATGTTTTCCAGTTTATAATTATGAGTGGTTTACAGAACAGGGTGAAGAAATTGAATTTGATTGTCATATGTAGAGATGGGTAAAATTTTATTATTACTGATAGTGTAATAATCCAGATGTATTATGTAACTGGAATGAAACTTAAACTGATCTGTTTCTATTTTATAATGCATTCATTTCAAATGAAAATATTATACCAAGGCTGTGACTGTTAGCCATATTTTTTTAGATGTGGCAGAGGACATACAGTTAATAAATTTATCCTTAGTGAGAGCTATTAAATGATCATGCTCTGAGTCTACAAGATAAACTAAGCACAGAGAATTTATCAAACAAAATTCCCCATTATAATTAATTTCACCTAGCTTATAAAAAGTTACATACATCTAAACCAATAAAAGTATGTTTTAAGGCAAAAATCTAATTCTTTTTTTTTTCTAAAAATGTTTATGTTAATGAAACTTCAAATTAAAAGGACTTAAGTGGGTTGTATCAGAGTTACTAATATGCACTGATATCAGTATGAGGTCCCGGAAGATAAAATGTTTTCATAAATTGACCTTTTAAAATCAAATTTCTGCAAAATTTTTTCTGAAATTTTGTCATTGAGTTTTACCCTCATTCCATTCACTCTCTATTTCTATTTCCAGAACTACTGGCATCATTTAGAGTCTAAGGTCTAAATGACATGCGTGTGCATAACCTTCAGGATTCTTGCCATTTTATTTGATTCTAAATAAAAACCTACAATTTTAAGCCTCATACTTACTGTGAGTCAATGTCAGTGGAAAGGAAAAAAAAAACACTTCTCCAAAATTATCTGTCTTGAAATTTGTCAACCTCAAATTTTTCTCAGAGTAAAATATGAAATGCATTTGAGTAATGAATTTCTGCAATCTATGTTTTCTTTGCAATAACTTCTTTATAAATTTGTGCACATTCATTTTTTTTAATTCTGATATAAAATAAATCAACCTAGTAATTATGTTAAGATTCTGGTCAAGTGGAAATTTGCATGGTGTGATGTCTATAAAGAATATATCAGGGAGTTCTGAGACTCACAGTGTTTCTTTGTCTCTCATCCTGATATTTCTGGGCACCTCATATATGGTAAATGGTGATGATGCAAGCTTTGGTCATCCTTGTGAGACTAATTCCCAGGAGAAGTGTTTGGCCTGTTCCCAAGGAAAAACGTTCAAGGACTCATACAACTATGTTAAGTTTTCAGACAGTGTGATTATCCCTTGAGACCGCATAATGCAGAGTCTGGTTTGGGGTTGTTTTGCAGAGCTCTAAATTTTTGATTGGGGAGCTGAACAAAAAGTTTCTAGATACTTAACCATCTATTTTGAAGTCATCACAGAGAGAATTATTTATTTTCCAAGGTGAAATATTTTTCTATTTTCTATTTTATGGGATCATACTATCATCTCAAATAGTATGGACAGTAGGTATCAAAAACGTGTATTTTTCACTTTTCACCATTACAATGAAATAAATACAGAATTACACTCCCTGTCTCATAATCAAAAAGACTTTAAATAACATTTTTATAGCATCTTTTTTATTTTTGGTAGACACTTTCATATTAAGATCGTAGCCACACCTCTACCTAAGCAGTTCCCACATGTACAGGGGAATTCTATTATTCTCTGTTCTTTCTTCACTCACTCTGATATATACACCTGCACGCACGTGAACATGTGTGTGCAATACAATGTCTGAGAATATTAGTTTGTTAGGGTGATGTAACCAAATACCACAGACTGGGAGCTTAAATAATAGCAATTTATTTCTCCGTGTTCTCAATCTAGAAGCCTGAGCTCAAGATAAGTCAGGGCTGATTTCTGGCAGGTCCCTCTCCTTCACTGTAGGTAGATGTCCTCTCTTTGTATCTTCACATTGCCTTTTGCCCTCCATGATTCTATGCTGTGATCCTTTGTTCTCATGATGCCAGTCCCAATCGCATTTGATTACATCACACGCTTAAAAGCTAATTTTCAGTTAATTACCCACACAATGATCCTCTCACTGGAGTACAGAGTGAAGTACCAGGAGTTAAGTCTTCAACATATGAAATTTGGTATAAATGAATATATACATCCACACACATACATTTATTGTGTAAAAATAGGTTTAAACACAGAGTCAAGTATACATTTAAATGCATAGTATTAATCTCCATATCGCTGACTCAACTTGAATAGATGCCCATGATTGCAGGTAATATTAATTTTATAATGATTACATTTGACTAGCTTGGCAATGACCCTGTAATCCATAGAAAAACCACAGCTTGCATATTTCCATAGTATCTTCAATGAAGTCATTGGTACCCTTCTCCCCCCTTTGATTTATACATTGACATCTACCTGGAAGTTACCTGATATAGATAAAACACATTATTGCACAGCTCAACCTTTAGAGTATTGTGGGACATGACAAGAGCTCAACAAAATATAGTATTACCATTATTATATATCAATTAATAAAACACAGCTGTTTTATTTTCCATTACACAGTACATTAAATATTATTGGCATGGTGCCCAAAACTGGAATAGTATGTCCTCAATTACAACAAATTACATCTTACACAAAATATGAATGTATTAATATAACAAGGAAACTACAGCACATGCAACAACATTTTATATTGCTATAGATCATAATATGCACATGCAATATCAATATATAAATGCTTTCTAGGACACATTATAAAGAGAGTAGGGAAGTCTTAATTAGTCACGACCTAAAGCTAAGCATTTTTGACAAAAGCGTGGAATCTGTTGACCATCTCTTCCAACATAAACCAACAGGTCACGTAACTCATTGTAGAAACAGGGATAAATGAAAACAAGATGAGGGCATAGTTCATTAAAAAAAATCACAGAAACAAAAACTGTCTTTAAATATGTGAAATAACACATTGTATATCCAAGATAGTAATGATCTAAAAATGCATGTTACTGAGCAATAAATGCTTCTCAAATACTTATCTGTAGTTGCAAATAAATAGGAATAGCTATAATTATACAGTTTCGATATCATGGTAATAACAGATTTTTTAAATAACGCTGCAATGTGAGGATGGATATCATGTGCTAACCTGGAAGAGTAGTAGATAGTAGTAGAGATTAGACCCAATCACATATAATTGCTCCATGATTTACTTGGAGAAATATACATGTCATTAACATAGGAATGCACATCAATCATTATTGGATGAATGAAAACAATCTAGCCAGTAATCATAGCAAAAGTTTAAAACAAAACATTGAATATTGGAAAATGAAAACTATCTTCTTGAACACCTCTTAATTAAAATAAAATTTAAGGGGCCTCCCCGGTGGTGCAGCGGTTGAGCGCTGGGTTGCGAAGCTGCCCGCAGCCTCTGCAGTGGCGGTTCAATCCCCAGCTGCTCCCTGGCCACCGGAGGAGGGTCCCATGGCCGGTAGACCTCTCCTGCTGCCCGCTGCACCCCTCAGCAGTGTACCTATGTCCTTCTGCCTGCCCTGCTTCCCGCTCTGGCTCTGGTGAATTCTCTCACACTCCCATGCCTCTGACTGTACCCAGTGCTTGTATAAATAAACAAACAAACAAATAAATAAATAAATCTTAAAAAAATAAAATAAAATAAAATTTAAAAATTAATTTGAATAATCTTAAATAACAAAATACTCTGAAGCTAGAATTTTGTAAGGAAATTAACAATTCCAGACTACTAACAGAAAAACTGTTTTTATTAATTTAGTTAATTATTTATTTTCTTTATTGAGGTAACATTGGATTACATCATTGCATGGGATTTAGGGAAGAGTTTAAAACACCTCAGTGTATGTCACCACCCCAGCCACAAAAACTAAGCCCTATTACCCTGACCATTGCTCCCTCAGGGATTTGCTTCCACACCCATCATTTCATCCTCTGTAGTAGCCTCAGTTCTGCAGTCATATTTCTAGGCTTTATGTTTGTTGATTAGATCAATTCCTTTGTCATTTTTTATAGAAAAGTTTTAAAATTAAGAAAAACTGAACACTCTACTGACTAAAGCTTATGGGTGGCCACATAATCTGAATTTATTGTCAAAGTTTAACTTTACAACTTTGCTCCACTCAAAATGTTAAGCAAGTGAGTGAAGCATTTACTTCAAAAATTTACTTGCAAAGTATATAACAAAACTTAGAAGCAAGGGAAAAGCAACAGCTTTAAAAATTATAAAGAATTTCAATAAGTTAGCAGTGCACAGAAAGGTAAGAACTTTAAATGCTCAGCAGGTAAGACCAGTTATTTTATGGCATAGAGAGTTTTACATTGATGAGTTTACAATATGTCAAGTCCACAGCATGCTCTCTGGGAGTCTCCTAGACCAACAACACATTCTTTTCACATTGTTTCAATGACAAAGGAATTAACAATGTTTAAACTTGCAAGTGTATCAGAAAGCTGAAAAAAATAGTAAAGGGCACAGCAGAAATTAAACTCATGCTCTATATATATATACACAAATACATAACAAAAGAACAACAGACACTAAGTTGTCAGTAATTATTAGGACAATCCTCTTCCCTTCACTTTTTTTTTTTCAGTATTTCTATGTTTTCTCCAATGTTAACATATACCATTACAAAGTCCAAATTTGTGAAGCACTGCAATTTTCCTTTTCAGTTGTTGTTGTTGTTTTGGTGTTTGTCTATTAAATTACTCAAAATTAATCTACAAAAACTCAAGAAAATAGTCTTAAGAAAATTCATTGTGGGGCCTCCCTGGTGGTGCAAGGGGATAAGATACAGCCTATGAAGCTACCGGCAGCCACTGCAGAAGGAGTTTGATCCCCAGCCAGGCAGATACCCACATGTCTCTGCAGACCTCACCTGACTCCACCCTTCTCT